TACAAAACCTAATTATACAAGTGGTAGCCTCAGACGGTCAGCTGACAACGCTGGCGATTGAGATGCTCCTGGGCGGCTGATAAAGTTCTGTCTGGAGTTTTGTTGACCTTGGTTTGTGAATGCTGTGATTGCTATTCCAATAATTTCTTTCTAATCAAGATTGGAGAGGTCAAGTTGTAGAGTTTTTGTTTTTCTTTTTCCAAAACCACCCTATACAATTGCTCTGGTCTCTACCACTTGTGTGGGTTAATGTGTGTTTAAAAAAAGCAAATGTTGGCTCTGATGGGGCCATCCACAGAACACATTCCAGCATGCTGCTCACATTTACATTGTGATTAACTAGTTGTTAGTCATAGGAAAGGAGCAAAGGGGGAAGCCATACATTATTAGCAAATTATTTGGTCAGCTTCACCAAGAAGCTGCAGCTTTGCACTCCCCAGGGAACCACCAGCCTATTTCCTGCTGGGGGAAGGGACTGGACAAAGGAAAGATAGACACATGCCCAGTAAAGTTGGGGTGACATAGGGAAGGTACTCGCCTGTCAATCAAACCTGGAGACAGAGATGGTTGGCCAGAATAGGCATGGCCACTGCAAGCCCACGAAAAATTTGGGAATATATAATCTCCTAGACAAAGGAATTCTCTTTCTTGTTGCTCATGGATTTTTTTCTTTCTCCTTTCTTTCTTTCTTTCTTTCTTTCTTTCTTTTTTCTTTAAAAGATATTTTATTGATTTTTTACAGAGAGGAAGGGAGAGGGATAGAGAGTTTGAAACATCGATGAGAGAGAAACATCGATCAGCTGTCTCCTGCATACCTCCCACTGGGGATGTGCCCACAACGAAGGTACACGCCCTTGACCAGAATCGAACCCCGGAATCTATATCTATATTGATTTCAGAGAGGAATGGAGAAAGAGAGATAGAAACATCAATGATGAGAGAGAATCATTGATCGGCTGCCTCCTGCACGCCCCCTACTGGGGATTGAGCCCGCAGCCCAGGCATGTGCCCTTGGCTAGAATTGAACCTGGAACCCTTCAGTCCACAGGCTGATGCTCTATCCATTGAGCCAGACTAGGATAGGGAGAATTCTCTTTTGTGTTGCTTTGGTTGCTCTATACTCCTGGCTCATGGGTTGCTTTTGCTCCTGCTTCCTTGCATTTGCCTGTGTTCCCTCCACAGCAGGTGGTCCTGTGGACCCCACATGCAATGGACTGATGAACTGTACAGCTGGAAACACAAGCTTAACTAGCCGGATGCTGGAATGGACCTCTGTTCCTACATGGGAAAGAAACTCCGGACACTGGCCCTGATTTTAGCTTTACTGAAACCACAGCAACACTCCTCTCTGATTGGGCAAAGGGAAATGGGACTTTGGAAACTCAGGGATTTAATTCCACGCAAATGAAAAATCACTCGTTCTCCAGTGCAAGTCTTAGAAATTCCTTTTCTCAGGATATTGCAAGAATTCTAGTCCCAGCAGCAACCAGGGAAGATGAGGCCCTCTCCCGTCCGTTAACAACATACAGTATTATCTTTCTCTCCATTTTGTCTTTCACTAATGAGCTGTGCCAGTTGCCACTCAACCATATGGCTTTGGGGTGAAGGAATTTGACAAAGGGTAGGAAGAAATGCTTCCAATTAAATTGTGTCCAAAGATGAGAATTGTTTGTTTTTAATCTGAAAAGGCGATGCATCTTGTCATGTCTATTCCACTAGCTTTGACTCCTAAGGTCTGCAGGCCACTAGGGAGCAAGCCCCATCCAAGTTCCCAATCCCCTGGGGGTGCTTCCGCAGCCCCATCACACTGTGACTTCCCAAGGGGGTAAGGAGACCGAGAAGTCATCCTTATTTAATTCCTAGCTGTTAGGACATTGCTTGGAAATGAGGGGCTCATGTTCTCTTTGCCGAAGAAACATCTAAATGCACACCTTGAGCACCTTTTTCAGATTTGGAAAGCAGACAACAGAGTGGAAGAATGTGTTCTAGGTTGGATGGTTGGAGAGAGCTGTTTGCAATCTGGCCATTGTACGCTTTGCTGTTCTGCTTTACTTTTATAAGGGAGGAGGGGAGTGTAACTCAATTAAAAAAAAAACCAACACTTTGTATTTGGCACATTTTACTTGTCAAACTTTCAGCGCTAATATAATTACTACTTCTTCTTCTTTTTTTTGGGGGGGGGGTGTGTGTGTGAATCACCTGAGGTGACCATTTTTTCAAGTTGTATGTTTTTTAGAAATTAGCCTTTTCTAAAGTGAATATCTGTAATGAATGTTTTAGTTTGGGCTACGTGAAACCAACATATTCAAACATTTATTTGAGAGGGAAGTTACACTCCAGCTACCCCTGCATTTTGGAAAGGTGTGGGCTGACTGGGGAAGACGATCTGAACCATTAAAGGCCTATGGCTTTTCACATCAGAATGGGGATGAAGGGGATGAAGGCATTGGGGGTCTGTGGGGGGAGAGAGTGGTCACAATATTTGATTTGTGGTACTGTTTTGCCACATAGGCTTTTGTTTCATATAAACTTTCTGCTTTCACAGAATTGGCTTTTGTTTCATATAAACTTTCTGCTTTCACAGAATTGGAAAAAGAGCGAATGTGAGAAAGGCTTAATGTGAACAAATCTGGAAGAAAAATGGTCCTATTTAAGTTCAGATTAAACTATGCCATTTTATTTAAAGAGCAATCAGTTTTATAAGCAAGGTACAAAGAGTCAGCTTTAGAAAAGGTTCTTTCTAGTTAAAAGAATTGAAAAAAAAAATGTTAAAATTGCTCTAACAATTAGAGTCACACTATTGCTGAACCTTGGAGAAATATAGCATTCTAAGTTGTGGTCCCAGTTCTTCTATGAGAAGGTAGACCTGGATTGTAAAAAACAATGTTAGAAAATTCTGGGCCCTAGGTAGTAGCATAACTATCAAAACAGGCCATTCTATACAGCCTAGTGAAGGTCATTACCACATCAAACTCCAAGTGCTTATTTTGTCATACACAGACACATAATTTTAGTAATAATCAAAAAGCATTTTACTAAAAATTAAAACTTCAACTATAGTTACAATTTAAAAGAAAATGACAATAAACTAAGCACATAATTTTTTTCAATACAACATTTTAAGCAAAAAGAATGGTTTTCATCTTGATTTGTCAACCTTAAAAATAATTCAATGCCTCCTCCTTAAAAAAATCTATTGAGTTTGGGCTGAGCAGTGCTAACTCTGAGTTTGTTGTCTTGAAACGTTCCTTAAATCATTTTTAAACATTTGTTTTAGCTAAGAGGAAGGACATTCTGTATGATGATAATTTTAATATAAAGTTCATGCAATTCAGAAAAACATGGACTCATGCTCAGATTTTATGTGAAATGTGTCAACAAATTCATCATCAGGCTTTGTTTATTTTTGTTGTTGTTTTTTTCATCTTTGATGATTTTACCCAAATCAGTAGCTGCTTTGGTGAGGATCCTGCTAAGTCACATTTGATGATTGATTTGTATCCTGGAAAGTCCATCCATTGAATGACAGGTTGGAATAAAGGATGCAAGCATGGCTGCAATTTACTTAAAATTGTATGGCCATTTTGGTTGCTACTAAATTCTTTAAAAGTGATGATCAACAAAGTAATCCTTTTGCTTAAAGAACTATAGGCTTTCCGAAACCCGAACTGACAATGATCTGAAACAGATAATACAAAATATTTCAAATAACATTAGATTTCTGTGGAATTTCAGCTAGGCAAGTATTTCAATGTAAGAAACATGATTTAAAAATACATTTTGCCTAAATCTTTAAAATAATGGTATTGTTTGCTATAGTATTATGCATGGTTGGGATAAAGACTATTTATTTTCTTTTGGCTAAAAATGGTCAAATAGCAAGTATGAACCATTGCTAAGCCATTGACCTTTATTGACATCCAAGTCTTCTGAATCCTTCCATCTAAAAGCAAAGAAACAGAGCCCTAGCCAGCATTGCTTAGTGGCTGAGGCCTCGGCCTGCACACTGGAGGGTCTTGGGTTTGATTCCAGTCAAAGGTGCATACCTGAGTTGCAGGTTTACCCCACCTCACCCTCAGCCTGGGGTGTGTGTGAGGCAAACAATCGGTGTGTCTCTCTGGCATTGATGTTTCTCTCTCCTCTGTCTCTCCACCTCTCCCTTCCACTCTCTCTAAAAATCAATGGGAAAAAAAATATCCTCACTCCTCTGATGAAGGTTAAAAAATAATAATAATAAAAGCAAAGAAGCAGCACATGCTTTTCAAAGAGGATCTCACTCAGGATGAAAATATTAAAATAATTAAAGTGTAGAATTGAAATCTTCAGCTTATATGAGTCCTCTAGACCTAATGCAAATTGCCAGCTCTTCCCAGCCACCTTCCCCCTTGCTCTCCTTTCCTCTTTCTTTATTGAATGTGTTGTGTGCCCACCATGTGTACACCACTCTTCTAGGTGCCAAGGAATCTTTTTGACATCAGTTTTGGCAGAAGGCAGTTGTGACCCACCTATGAAACACAGCTCCGGGGTTAGGTGGGATTGAGGATAATAGGTCAAGGCTGGTGCTTACTCTCCTTCAAAATACATTGCTAGGCTGAGTCCACACATAGGAATTCCAAATCACGTTCCACCGTAGCCACCCACATGTTTCTCAGCCCTGCCTAACCCAGAGAGTGAGCCACCTCTCCCGTTCCCCGAACCTGGGCTGTTATTCATTACACCTGGGCAGGTAGCTTCCTTTGGAGAAATTCCCACATGAGGCATCACATGCAAGCTGGCAGCAAAGGCTGGAAGTTATCTAAGCCAGCTGGCACTCGCACACGCAGCCTCCTGGTGAAGTCAATGGATGGGAAACCACGGGGAGGCCACCTCTGGGGCAGGGGCTTCTGAGTGGACAGCTCTAAGGACAGAGCCCCGTCTGACTGGCTGACTGGATCTGCAGTGGCATGGAATTTCGAAAGCTTCAGATTGGAAACCTTTTGCCTTTGTATTTATTTTTATAGAAGCAGGAAAGGCAGCTGCGTTGAAGACAATGACTCACACGTTTTTGCTGTACTGCTTCGTGTTTCTTTTGCCCACAGAGTCCTGCAGAACATTATGCCAGGTAAGAGAACGGAGGTGGGGGGATGGAATGGTGGGGAGAAGCAAATGGGAATCGAAAACGCAGCTCTAGGGTATCTGAGCTGAAGTGTAGGGAGATAGTGGTAGAATGGTTCAGCCAGATGAAATTGCAGTTGCAACTATATGTGTGTAACACCCATTTTAGTCAAGAGCTGCAAATTATTATTTTTCCATCAACTTTTCCTATAAGTTCCTGAGATACAATAAGGCTCAAATGATTTAAGGGTGATCATCTCTTCTTTCTATATCCTATGGTGATGAAGTTTTCAGTTGCTTGTAACTAGGGCCACTTCCTCAGGGACACTTGAGAATGTAGGTGTGGTGAGGGTCACACTGACTGAGAGAGATAATTAATGGTATTTAGTGTGGGCAGATCCTAGGAATGGTCTGGCACAAAGAAGCATTGTCCCACCCCAAATGGCATCTCCTTTGAGAAACCTGATAGTGACCACCATGGATGGGCTGCAAGGAGTAAAGAGCAACTCAGGTAGTCAATGGCTAATCAAAATCTAGCTGGGATGGAGTTTGTAGCAATGTACTATCTTCACATTTTGTGAGGCAGTGAGCCTGATGGCTCTCTCTGGAATATTTTTCCTCATACTACAAGTCATTTTAATTTTCCTGTTAGTTATTTGTTTAAAATAAAGTATGGAGAGAGAGAGAGAGAGAGAGAGAGAGAGAGAGAGAGAGAACATAATGATATTTTGAGCTTCTTTAGAAGAGAATATTATTATTGGGCCACAAGATCTGAAAGAGAGCTTTGAGATCAACTGGTGAAGCTCCACTCCCTTATTTTATCAACGGGGAAACTGAGGCCCACGGTGTGGAATGTGACTTGCTTGAGGGTACATACCTACTCAGCCAAAGAGCCAAGCCCAGGACCCTTGTCTTCAGATTCTTAGTTTCTTGATCTTTCCATTTTAATATGCAATTTCTCTTTTTTTAAAAAGCAAAAGTGTGGAAATTTATTATATGCTATTACAAACTCCACACATGGGGAGGGGGCCCAAGTATGGGTTGACCTTTATATGTACTTTCTTGAGAAGAGCCTCCTTAGGAAAGAATAACTAAAAATTCTTTCTAAGAGTTTCCAAATGATATTTACTTTACTCTCTAAGTAGTTTGTCCTTGGATGGGAATTTTCTCCATGATTCCCCTTCCCCCAACCCTGAGCTGGTGCCTACTTTCTGGGAGAGATTAGAGACTCCTTCAGAAAGACCTTTCCCAAGAGGCATCCCAACCCCCACAGTGAGGTACTATTTCCTCCCTTCATTTTCTCTTCCACGTTTTCCTACAGGACAGACTTAAAGAATAGTCAGAGTTTCAGAGGTTAGCTTTGTTTTCTTTATTATTGGGCATCACCTTATCAGGACTTATCCTGTCCTTTTATTCTTACTAAACAAGTTGCTGGATGCTACTCCTCTCCTGACCTGACTACTAACTCAGGCAGCTCCACAGGTTTAGCAGGTGGCAGGTTTTGAAGTGTGGTTTGTTTTTTTCCAATATCAGGTTGACAATGGCTGGTATCAGAAGCTAACATAGCTCCTAGTCAATGCCACCCAAGAAACGAAATGACCAGGAGCTGTGCATGGCTGTGCTTTGACAAATTAACTAGGAGGAAGTGAATCAGGTCTTTCTCTTAAGAAGGCAGATTTTCTAGAATTCCTTGCAAATAGCACAGTACAGCCTTGTGCCCACACATCTGATTACTATAATGTGACTTCACTGTTGTCTGTTCAATGGGTCAAGTATTATCCAGAGTTGTCCACTTTTATGTGCTTTTTTATGGCGTATTGGAGGTCATGACCATCTCAAGATGGGCTTATGGCATCTTGAGATGCTTGTACTTCCATATGCCCTCCTCTGCCTTCTCCATTGGACATGGGTTGACTTGATGGGAAGAACAGTATTATAAGAGTAGGAGAACCGAGTTCTAGTCCCAGTTCTAGGAGGATTGCCCTAGATAGCCTTGTGCAAGTAACCTCATCTATCAAAGACTCACTTTCCTTATCTCTACAATAAGGGGGTTGGACTGGTTGATCGATAAGATCTTTCAAAACTCCAAAAATATTATTTCACTGTTCTTGTTTAGTGGAAGGCCTTTAGCTCCTCCATGTATATACTAAAGCTTTCTCTTGATTGTGAAATGAGAATTCATCTTACATCAGTATTTTGAAGGATTGTATTCCATGAATCAGAGTTACCTTCTCACTTTGGACAGACCTGAAATGCTCAATTCAGATTCTCCATAAATTCTCATTTGGTAGAGAAAACATAAGATTCAGCTTTGTTTTTTGATATCATAGAGAGAAATAATGTGAAGAAGAAAGGGATATGAACTCCAAGTGTTAGTCACACAGCTAAGTCATTTTACTTTCAGTTCCTTCCCAGTGGTTGAGATCTAGGAATGCAGGTTGGAGTAATTGTACCAGGGCTCTTTCCAGGCCCTAGAGGGAAAACTTCTGGTCAAGAAACAAGAATATTTAGACTTATTCTCCAAACACACATACATACATATATATATATATGCCAGTATATTCAGATATACTAATATGTAGGGGGATGCAGGGCACAATTCACAACCCATGCTATGTTCTTAAGGAACTTATAATTTAATTTAGAAAATAATAAGCATATATAAAAATGATTAGATAGTATTACAACAGGTCAGGTGAGTAGGTGCCAAGTATTGAATGAGTGGTATGCTAGTATGGATAATAAATTTTATAGGAGCAAGAGAGGAAGAGATGTACTATCTAGAACTAGATTGAGAAAGACTTCTTAGAGGAGGCAAACTTGAGCTTCATGTAATAGCCATTCCCTAAGTCCATTTTCAGAGAATTATAATGATAGCTAAATCTCAAATACTGCTTACAACATTGAAGGCCCAAATCTAGGTGCCTTTCTTACATGATCGCATTTATTCTTCATAAAAATCATCTGAGGCAAGGGTATGAAATTGTCATACTATAATTCCTACCCTGCTTTATGGATGAGGTAAGTGAGGCTCAGAGAGATGAACTTTCTCAGGACCTCAAGTGGCAGTATTGGGATGTGAACCCAATGTTCTGTTCCCAGAGTCACCAATTGACCACAAAATGACACTGCTGCTCAGTGAAGGGTGCAGTATCTACAGATGGATGAGAAAGGAAGGGCTTCTAATCAGGAGAGGTGGGAATGCTCATGGTAGGAGGAAGCCAGGTTTTGGGGGAATCACTCTTTAAAAAGGAACATAAAATGTCAAATACAAAATTTAGGGAAAAGTGAATATTTAATTAGAATGAGAAAAAGAATCATAACAAACTTCAAATTTAGAATAATTACTCAGCATTATTCAGGGATAAATTCAATAAAATAACAATATTTTTTATTGTCACTACCCATATTTTTGTTCCAAATTTTTGGCTCTATACTTGCATATCAAGAATTTTATATATTTTTTCTATAGAGAGGATAGATTATTCCGTCTAGCATTGCTGATTAACTTTGTTATTCTAGTTTAGAAAAAATAGCTTTTAGTTTCTGGATTGATTATTAGTAATGCCATGTAAATATGTAGAACTATTGTGAACTTTGGGGAAACCTCTAGCAAGTGTCTTTCGTATATGACCTACCGGGTTCAGGGCTCTTAGAACTTGCTTATTCTGTGACTAATTGTAAATACTTCTACCTAGAATTAAAGCCACTTATGTGTTGATGTTCTCATGGCTGCAAACTATAGAAGTACTATTAAGTCCAGGCTAAATGTATTCTCAACTCACTTCTACTTGTCCAGATTCCATAAATAGCTACGACCTCTCTAGTGCTGTCCAAAATGGGGGAATATAAATGGGGAATTTGGAGTGGCAAAAAGTAATGGCCTGAGTAGATGCCGGTTAAACAGTGTTGCTTTTGACAATGTAATAAAAACATAAGAGCATGTGAGCCCATTCCTAGATCCTCTCTCAGTGCTTCAAAGGGGCCCATACAGGCAGTGAATTCTGAAGCTTAACCTTCATTAACTTCTCAGCAAATCCACCTCTGCTCATGATGCTCCTGGGTAGAATGTAGCTCATCCTTACAGGAGTGGACAAGGGATCCTACTGAAGAGCCGTGGGAGAGATAATGATCCAGGCTAAAGGGCAGATGGGGTCATGGGCCACATGTCATGGTCTCAGCTTTTGGTGGCGTCCTGGTGTCACAGCTGATGAAGATGTGGTCGTTGGCCTGTGACTAAAGTGAATCATTGGGTTGGCTTCTCACCAATTGATTTTGATGTGAATTTTGATTTTCCCTCCCTAGGCTGCCAGCAAAAGCAAGGGGAAAGTGTCTGCCAAGCCACACGGTATGTTGGTAGCAATTACTAATGAAATAAAAGTTTTACTGTCCATCTGTTATAATAGAGGGCCATCCTTGGCCCTGTCTTATGGCCTGGCAGATGGGACTCCCTGATGGTTTGCACTGGGACTTCCTTTTTATTTTTCTCATATTAAAATGTACCTTTGACCTCTGCTTTCCTCTCTTGCCAGCACCCTCTGCTCCATTCTGGTCTTGGAGTTATTTACTATAAATCCTTTGCATTGAGCCAACTCAGACTGGGGCAGTGGCTAGCAGAGGTCTGTGAGAACCCATTTATGATGTAACTGATTATAAAGTTCCAGAGTTGGGAGGTTTCTTAGAGAACATCAGCTACAGGGGCGTCCAAACTGTCTCCCCTTGGAGGGGCCTGAGGAGGTGCTCAGGGTGTTCCTATGAGGTGTGAGGGACCTAGGGACTACTGACCCAGGGGCTCTTCCCTCTCACTGGGCCAGTCACACTTTTAACTATTTGTTTTTAAACATGTTTTTATTGATTTCAGAGAGAGGAAAGGAGAGGGAGAGGGAGAGGAGAAACATCGATGAGAGAGAAATATTGATCAGCTGCCTTCTGCACACCCCCTACAGGGTACCGAGCCTGCAACCTGTGTATGTGCTCTGACAGAGAATGGAACCAGGACCTCCTGGTGCATGGGATGACGCTCAACCACCCGAGCCACACTAGCCAGGCTATTTTCTGCATTTGAGTTCAGGATAAGATTTTGTTGGAAATAACAGTAGTTTGTCACTGAAATATAGTGTGTCCCAAAGGAAGTATACACATACTTTGAATAATTATAAAGGCAGCGTGTTTATTAAAATACATTTCATTTTCAAAATTGAGGTAACAGCTATTATAGTGTGTATACATTTTTGGGGGACACCCTGTATATGATAGTCATTGATATATTTCAATCTTCCTCCACTTTACCAAGTCCACAGGAGTTATGCACCTTCATGTGGTGACACCTTGAGCCCTGAGTCCATATCTCTCCATCTGATGCTGACGCCTTTTATCTTCCCAGGTGCATGTGATGGGGTCTGTGTGGACAATTCTCATTTCAGTAAAACTTTTCCTAACTTTGGGCACCTAAAAGTCTGTTCTCATGTTTCCCACACCTTCCATGACACAAAGGCACTAGATTGCTAAGGCCAGAGCTAGAAGAGCTGTCTAGAATCATCACAGTTTACTTGTCCACTTTCACTCAGCTCTTTAATACCCCAAAGCCCAGCTACTCAATGTGTACTTCACTGACTGGCAGCACAGGGCATCTCTGAGAGCTTTCAGACACGGGGCAATTGGGCCCCATCCAGACCTGCTGAATCTGAACCTGCATTTTACCAAGATCTCCATGCGACTCCAGTGCTCAGTAAAGCACAAGAAGAGAGCCGAACCTGGAGGAAAGGACTTTGTTGTCAAACAAAGGAACATATTTCCACATACACTTAAGTTGTTACATATTTTAAAAAGTCAAATTCTAGTAAATAAAATCAGGTCAAATGGCATTTCTTCTTCCTTTGTTTCCTTTTCTCCTCTTCTATCAGGAGCGTTATCTTTCTGAAGGTCAGCTCCTGACTCGCTCAGGGGAGTCAATGCTTTGGCCTCTCTTGTGTCCTGGCAACATTCCCACCCTCTGTTTGGGGGCATGGCTGGGGGAGGCAGTGGATGCTATGCCTGAAGTTCCCCTACCAGACTTCAAAATGCTGCCCATCCCTGATTTGAAGGATCTGGGCAAAGTACACATGGAGACCCACATTCCATATGTCTTAATATTTAAATGCTTTCAATCAGGTCTACAAACCATTAAATAAAGCAGATCTGTCAGCCTTCCATTCTAGATTCCATCCTGCACCTCATGTCTGGTGGAAGGCCAAGGCCACACATCCATAAGCCTGAACACAGGTGTCCCTTTGACACATCTCAGGCCTACAGGTGGCCTGGTCCATCCGTGGCAGCGCAGACTTAGGGAAGGCCCTGCAAATGGGCTTGCTGTTGTCATGTAGAATAATCAGGTGTCTGGAAGCAGGGACATGGGTCCTGTGTAGGCCCATCCTCTAGGCCAGTGATGGCAAACTTATGACATGCGTGTCAGAGGTGACACACGAACTCATTTTTTTGGTTGATTTTTTTTTGTTAAATGGCATTTAAATAAATAAAATAAACATCAAAATATAACTCTTTGTTTTACTATGGTTGCAAATATCAAACAATTTCTATATGTGACACGGCACCAGAGTTAAGTAAGGGTTTTTCAAAATGCTGACACT